TTGGTCGTGGCAGACACACCAAGATCAATCGAGATGAATCAAGAACAGGCCATGCCATCCGCAGGGGCTCCAAACTACCAACCTGATTCTCCGGGTAGCGAGCGGGGTGGCACGACGAGATATCTTCCCGACCAGGGTTTCTTACCTCCGCTGGGACTTGGGCGAGGACTGCCACCGTTACGCAAGGTTCACTCAAGACTAATGGTCAGGACATATGGATGGCCAACCAAGTATGCGCTCTCTCCCGACGAATTACTTTGCGTCGTCGCCGACGCAGTGAAAGGTGAGTAGTGTCAGAATGATGGCGAGCTGTGGCTGAAGATGATCTAGGTCGCAAGAATTCTTATTTACGAGATGTTTTGCATCGTGATGTTAGCGAAGGGAATGTCCTCGTCGTGCCCGTCATGGTGAATGGCAAGAGGGTGTTCAAAGGTTGCCTCATTGATTATGACAATGCAATCAAGTTTAGCTCCCATCAAACGCTCGCAGATGATCCTGCATCGGTATGAGTATTACTTTCTTAACTAAGATCCCACTGATTTCTCCTTTGGTATAGGGCACTCGTCCCTTTATGTCTGGGGAATTACTTCGTAAACGCCGCTACTTTGTTCAGCCAGACGAGACGTTATCAGCTCCTCGACATGATGCAATTCATGACATGGAGAGTTTCCTCTGGGTCCTTGTTTATATCTGTCTTTCTCGTGATGGTCCAGCTCATCGACGTCGAGAACTCTGGGACAACAGTGAGGACGCCGAACCTCTTCGCGATAATTGGAGGGCACTCTTCGAAGGAGAATTTGGGTACTTGGCGAAGCGAACTCTCATCGACAACAGAGGAGAATTTAAACTCTGCGTACTTAACTTTCTCCCAGACTACTACAAACCACTGGAGACAGTGCTGGCGAAACTGCGCGATATCCTCGAAACTGCATATCGCTCGCGGGAGTTCGACCATGTGCACGAAGACTTCATCAAGGCCATGGAGGCTGCGCGACTTAAAATGGAACCTATCGCGGATCCTAAGCATATTGAACTGCAGAAACGCGAAATTCAAGGCAGGCAGAATGACGATATTCGTACAGGAGATATCTCCCCCATTCCAAAAGGAGTGAATGTGGGCACAGCCATATCGTCAACTACAGCGTCGCGTCTTCAGGAACCCGAGTCCCCTACCCCCAAACGTACAAAGCCTACTTCAGACATGCTAGAAGTACCACTTACACGTTGATGGATGTCGTGTTCAAAACTAAGTTCCAGATGTGCCCATGCCTTGTTGTATGGATCATGTTTATGCAAATATCCTCCGTCGATGGTTTCGACGTCGCATCCTGAACCGATAGTTCTAGGGGATGGATTGAAATGTGTAATTAAGTTTTGGGGAGATGTATTTGGCGAGGAGCTAACGCCAAGAGTTTACTACTCGGTGTACGAATGTCTGTCAGGCACATGCAACACCGCACATCTGGACATGGTGGCCATCATTCATTTCCCCAGTCTGTTGCACCTCAGTATCCAAGAACATAACTTCGTATGGCAATACGGAACAAAAGTCCACGGCAGTACAAAACACGCTCCTCATAGCCTCTGACACGAATCTACGGGAGGTCGGAACGACTCCATCCCGAGAGCACACATTGCCTGACAATGGAAGCCATATTGGAATGAATTAATTGGTCGGCCCGTTACAAAATGAGAATTGAATACCGATACAAATGACAGGACTCCATCTACGAGTGAATTATCCATTAATAGACTAAGCAATTCTGATCTCCAAGCTTTTACAACCCAAGGACCTTCTCGACATTCTCGTGTCGCGGTACGAGCTTGATATGGAATGGCACAGGCGACCGGCCAGACAGTCCGTCGTACTCCTTCAGGTCGATGGGCTTGCCCGGGATCTCGACCATATTGAACGCCCACAGCATGCGGGAGATCGCCAGCCAGATCTCGCGCTCTGC